TTATTAGAAAACTTTATTATAAATAAATATAATATTATAAAATAAACAAATAAATATAAACTTAAATATATCAATATATCAAGTGTAAAATTTAATTAACTAAAGAAATTAAATGTTGTATAATAAATGCTTGTGATTTTATATTTTCGAGTGAATATTAAGAATATGCAATGTGGTTTAGATGGAAATTTTAATAAATCTGGAAATTACTATATGTACACTCAATTTCCAAAAGAAATTTATTTATAATGTTAATCGACCAGAATATTATTTGCAGAAAAATTAAAAATATCATTTGTAACATAAAAATAAAAATAATATTAAAAAAATAATTAGTTTAATTAAAGAAAAAATCAATTAACGACATTTGCCTAGTTACCAGAACGCTAAATAAAAAAAATTAAGAATAATCTTTTGAAAATCAAACTTTATTAAGTCTCTTAAAACCTATTGGTTTTCTTCATTGAATTATAAACAGTTATCAAATAAAACATAAAAGAAAACTAAAATTGTAAAATATATTCAAGCCACAATATTATAAAAATATAGTTTTAATTTTGTTAATATTAAGTAGTAAAAAAAAGTGCAAAATTCTAAAAAAATTATGAATAATAAAATAAAAAATTATTTCCACTTCAATGTATTGAAATATATCATAAATTCAAATGTTCGATGCCTTATATATTGGACAGTGCAAACAGAACTAGAAATAGAAAAGTTATAAAACAATGTTACTAAAAATACAAAACAACAGTCAACTGTAAAACTGATTCCAAAAATTATCAATAATAAATAATAAAGAACAATAATAATGTTCTTAGAAATTAAATGGTGTATAATAAATGATTGTTATTTCATATTTTCGAGTGAATATTAAGAATATGCAATGTGGTTTAGATGGAAATTTTAATAAATCTGGAAATTACTATATGTACACTCAATTTCCAACTGGAATTTGTTTTATAATGTTAATCGACCAGAATATTATTAGCAGAAAAATCTTGAAGATCGTTTTTAACAATAAAAACAAAAATAATATTTAAAAAATTATTTGATTAATTAAAGAAAAAATCAATCAATGACATGTGTCTTGTTACCAGAACGCTCAATAAAAAAAAATTAAGAATAATTCTTTGAAAGTTAAACTTTATTAAGTCTGTTAAAACCTATTGGTTTTCTTCATTTAATTATAAACAGCTATTAAACAAAACATAAAAGAAAACTTAAATTGTAAAATATATTCAAGCCACAATATCATAAAAATATAGTTTTAATTTTCTTATTATTAAGTAGTAAAAAAAGATCAAAACTCTAAAAAAAATATCAAAAACAAAGTATAACATTATTATTTTAATGTATTAAAATATAACATAAATTCAAATATTCGACGCCTCATACATTGGACAGTGCACACAGAACTAGAAATAGAAAACTTATAAAAAAATGTTACTAAAAATACAAAATAACGGTCAACTGTATAAGTGATTCCAAAAATTATCAATAATAAATAATGAAGAACAATAATAATTTTCTAAGAAGTAAAATGATGTATAATAAATGATTGTTATTTCATATTAAAAAAATAATTAGATTAATTAAAGAAAAAATCAGTCAACGACATGTGCCTAGTTACCAGAACGCTAAATACAAAAAAATTAAGAATAATTCTTTGAAAGTTAAACTTTATAAAGTCTATTAAACTATTTGCTTTCTTCATTTAATTATAAACAGTTATTAAACAAAGCATAAAAGAAAACTAAAATTGTAAAATATGTTTAAGTCACAATATTATAAAAATATAGTTTTAATTAATTTTTAAAAAAAAAGAACACAAATTCTAAAAACTTTATCAGAAAAAAAATATAACATTATTTCAACTTCAAAGTATTAAAATTTAACACAAATTCAAATATTCGATTCCTTATATACTGGATGGTGCAAACGTAACTAGAAATAGAAAACTTATAAAAAAATGTTAATAAAATAAGAAATAACATTCAACTGTAAATACTGATTCCAAAAATTATCAATAATAAATAATAAATAAAAATAATGATTTTCTAACTGAACAAAATTGGTTAAAACAATAAACACTTGAATAGACTTGAAATAATTTCGAAAAAAAAAAGAATGGTGTATAGCTATAAGATTTTATAATATATAAGAAAGTGAACTTATGGATGATTGTGTTATATTATATTAAAATATAACATAAATTCAAATATTCGATGCCTTATGTATTGGACAGTGCAAACGTAACTAGATATAGAAAACTTATAAAAAAATGTTAATAAAATACGAAATAACATTCAACTGTAAAACTGATTCCAAAAATTATTAATAATGAATAATAAAGAACCTTAATAATTTTCAAATAGAACAAAATTGGTTAAAATAATGAACACTTGAATAGACTAGAAATAATTTCGAAAAAAAAAAATAGAATGGTTTATAGCGATAAGATTTTATAATATATGAGAAAGTGAACTTATGGATAATTGTGTTATACTATATTAAAATATAACATAAATTCAAATATTCGATGCCTTATATATTGGAAAGTGCAAACAGAACTAGAAATAGAAAACTTATAAAAAAATGTTACTAAAAATACAAAATAATAGTCAACTGTAAAACTGATTCCAAAAATTATCAATAATGAATAATAAAGAACATTAATAATTTTCAAATACAACAAAATTGGTTAAAATAATGAACACTTGAATAGACTAGAAATAATTAAAAAAAAAAAAAAAAAGAATGGTATATAACAATATGATTTTATAATATATGAGAACGTGAACTTGTGGATGATTTTGTTCAATACTGGCCAGTTAAAAAATATAAGAGACAAGTTCATGTAATGACAAAGTTTTGGTAAATGTTTAAATAATATGTGAGAATAATATTTTCAGTAGTTTCTATGAATATAATATATGTAAGTTAATCTATTATTGATTTATAGGAATTATAAAATTTTGATTTGAGATATAACTGGCTTATTTATCACAAGTACTTTGAGAAAATGAGAGCGTAATTCCGAATGGTTAAAAGATTATAAAATAAAAAAATGTAATATTAATTGAAGACTTTGCTCAAAATACTAAATGCTATTTTATTTATAACTTTGTATGTGTCCAGGAATAAATATATACATATATAAAATGAAAAAGGGGAACGATCAAATATTCAACAAAATTCAGATCAGAAGAAGTCACTGTGCGATGTTGGATAATAAATTAATTTGCTTACCTTTATTCAAAGCTGCAGAGGAGAACTGATAGAGAAGAAAATACTTAGCACAATTCGAAATTTAACACTGAAAATATCAGAAAAAACTTCAAGCGCAAACTCAAAATCACTACCACACTCTAGAACACCTTCCACAACGAGAACTGCAGAAGATATGACGTGCCCCTCTCCTCCGCCCGATATTTATAATAAAATTGGTAAACAATCGATTATTGAATCGATTATATTATCGTTTAGAGTTAACAGAAACATTAACTGCTTTTGTATATATAACATTTTTTCAATATTTATGTTTATTTTAAATTAATAATAACTACTAAGTTGTAAAAAAAGATCAAAACTCTAAAAAAAATATCAAAAACAAAGTATAACAATATTTCCACTTCAATATATTAAAATATAACATAAATTCAAATATTCAACGTCTCATATATTGGACAGTGCAAACATAACTAGAAATAGAAAACTTATAAAAAAATGTTACTAAAAATACAAAATAATGGTCAACTGTAAAACTGATTCCAAAAATGATCAATAATAAATAATAAAAAACAATAATGATTTTCTAACAGAACAAAATTAGTTAAAATAATGAACCCTTGAATAGACTAGAAATAATTGCGGAAAAGAAAATAGAATGGTTTATAGAGATAAGATTTTATAATATATGAGAAAGTGAACTTATGGATAATTGTGTTATACTATATTAAAATATAACATAAATTCAAATATTCGATGCCTTATATATTGGAAAGTGCAAACTGAACTAGAAATAGAAAACTTATAAAAAAATGTTACTAAAAATACAAAATAATGGTCAACTGTAAAACTGATTCCAAAAATTATCAATAATGAATAATAAAGAACATTAATAATTTTCAAATACAACAAAATTGGTTAAAATAATGAACACTTGAATAGACTTGAAATAATTTAGGGAAAAAAAAATAGAATGGTTTATAGCGATAAGATTTTATAATATATGAGAAAGTGAACTTATGGATGATTGTGCTAAATTATATTAAAATAGAAAATAAATTCAAATATTCGATGCCTTATATATTGGACAGTGCAAACGTAATTAGAGATAGAAAACTTATAAAAAAATGTTAATAAAATACGAAATAACATTCAACTGTAAAACTTATTCCAAAAATTATCAATAATGAATAATAAAGAACATTAATAATTTTCTAACAGAACAAAATTGGTTAAAATAATGAACACTTGAATAGACTAGAAATAATTAAAAAATAATGGTATATAGCAATATGATTTTATAATATATGAGAACGTGAACTTATGGATGATTTTGTTCAATACTGGCCAGTTAAGAAATATAAGAGACAAGTTCTGGTAATGACAAAGTTTTGCTAAATGTTTAAATAATATGTGAGAATAATATTTTCAGTAGTTTCTATGAATATAATATATGTAAGTTAATCTATTATTGATTTATAGGAATTATAAAATTTTGATTTGAGATATAACTGCCTTATTTATCACAAGTACTTTGAGAAAATGAGAGCGTAATTCCGAATGGTTAAAAGATTATAAAATAAAAAAATGTAATATTAATTGAAGACTTTGCTCAATATACTAAATGCTATTTTATTTATAACTTTGTATGTGTCGAGGAATAAATATATACATATATAAAATGAAAAAGGGGAACGATCAAATATTCAACAAAATTCAGATCAGAAGAAGTCACTGTGCGATGTTGGATAATAAATTAATTTGCTCACCTTTATTTAAAGCTGCAGAGGAGAACTGATAGAGAAGAAAATTCTAAGCACAATTCGAAATTTAACACTGAAAATATCAGAAAAAACTTCAAGCGCAAACTCAAAATCACTACCACACTCTAGAACACCTTCCACAACGAGAACTGCAGAAGATATGACGTGCCCCTCTCCTCCGCCCGATATTTATAATAAAATTGGTAAACAATCGATTATTGAATCGATTATATTATCGTTTAGAGTTAACGAAAACATTAACTGCTTTTGTATATATAACATTTTTTCAATATTTATGTTTATTTTAATTTAATAAGTCGATGATTTAAGCATTTCACACGACTGTTTAGACTGAACGAGCTGAACGTACCTCTTTCATTCGATGCTTTATTTATTTACGTTAGCGCCCATATTTAAATTATGAAAACATGATTAGAATTTTTGTTTAATATTCTTTTCCTTTCCTTTCTGGGAATGTTTACTTCTTGTTCTTAAATATACGAATATTTCAAACTATTCTCACACTATTTCCTGACTTTGATTTTTGAGGAGAATAAAATTACTCAAAGATACAGAATATCATGACGAATAATTTGAGTTTTTAGGAGCGAAATAGATATTGCAAGAGTGTTTTATGCATATATTTTATAAACTGCTTTATGATTTTAAAATCTTAGTTTAGCGACAACATTTTAATTACTTTTAAGCATACCAACATTTAAAAAAATATAATATATCATGCATTAGTTGAAGTGTTCAAGTATAAGTAAATGTACTTGAAACCTTCAACCTTGCCAGTCACAAGAATTTAATGATATTTAACAAAAAAAAAAACTAGTATTTTTTTATTCATGTATACTTCAATGAAGTTATGAAAAGATAGTAAAGGAAGTTTTAAATGAATTATAGCCATTGCTGAGGAAAGTAAATCTTTTCACTTAACCTTACACTTTTATTCTTGAACCCATAAAAAGCAATGAACTTAATTTTTTGTGAATATCTCTAAAATTTAAACATTTCACTCTATTCCCATCTATGTTTATATTTAGGGATATAATACTATAGTTTTTTTAATTAGTTTTTAGCCTTCACTGATTATTTTCACTTCAATCCTTGCTTATAGTTCTTGTTTAATTAACAACCACTCATAATTTATAGTGTTTTCTTTTCAAATATACATTCTAGTGTGTGTGTTTTTTTTACTATATTTACTAACTTCATCTGATTAGTATTACTATTCCAAATTCAAATGTTCCCATCATCTAGATACATTTTACTATTATTCATTAATCATGTTCTTTTTACTCCTTGCCCATAGAAAACACTATATATTAAGTGTGGTTGTTTCTTAATTTAGACCTGAGGGAAAGAATGGAGGAGAAAATAATTGATGATGTTTCATTATCAAAAAATAAAAGATGCTTCAATGAAGTTTTGACTTTATTAAATAGTTTACAACATTGGTTGGCCATTACATATGGTTACAATATAAGGGTGGCTTGTAGAAATAAAAAAATCTAAAATAAATAAAACACAAACAACGGAATTATTACATTTGAATTAAATTTCAGACATATGAAAATCATACCTTTAGAAATATCAATAAATCTTTTTACCGCAATTTTAAATCATAATATACAGTATTTATCTTATTTAGGAATGCTTTTTTGAAGTTTTGTTATGAAACATGTGCCTAAGAAATATTCCAAATATTATTTTAATTATTAATTCAGCATTAGATTAAAATACACGTATTACTTTCATTATATTAAAATTATATATATTCTAATGGTGTACAACAGAATACAAGACATTGTAAGGTATAAATGATATTATCAAAAATAAATTTTAAAAAACCAGACACCCTTTTTACATATTATAGGTACACTCACTCACTCTCTCTCTCTCTCTCTCACTCTCTCTCTCTCTCTCTCTATATATATATATATATATATATATATATATATATATATATATATATATATATATATATATATGTGTGTGTGTGTGTGTGTGTGTGTGTGTGTGTTCTTTTTGTTTTTGGACATCACTTATTGAATTAATTGAATAAATGTTAAAATTGTCTTTACTTAAACTACATCACATACTTAGATATCAGCAAGATATCGGTATAACATAGCTGACATCTCTAAAGTACAAAATAATTTTATTTTTACATATATTCGGAAGATTGATTACTGAGGAGATGGGAGAATAAATTGTGTTTAAATGAAGTCAAAGATGAAGATTTCCATATAGAGGTTGATAGTGAATTACAAAATGAGGTAGCTCTTATATTTTAAAGGATACAGTTCTATGAAAAGGAATAAACATATCTACATACACACACACACACACACACACACACACACACACACACACACACACACACACATATATATATATATATATATATATATATATATATATATATATATGAGTGTGTGTGTGTGTTCCTTTAATTTTTTTTTTTTTTGGATATCACTTATTGAAATAAGTGAGTAAATGTTCAAATTGTCCTTATTTAAATTACATTATAATTATTTTCTCACCATAGCAAAGATTTTTAATATTCTTTAGAAAATACTTTTTATTTTTTTAAATCAAATTTTATTAATGCCCATTCGAATATAAATTTTATATATCAAGTATTTTTAAAATTTAAGATTGTTATGCTTTTAACTGCCCATAGGATGCCTAATCGTGGCTATATTTAGCAGGTAAAAAAATGAGGCTTGGAATAAATTTTAGAGTTAGTATTGAGAATAAAGAGATTGTTTGAACGACGGTTCAGCGAGCTAGGTTCTGAGCGTTGGAGGTTCGATTTCCGTTAGGAAATTTTTTTATTTATTTCATGAAGTTTCATTACATTAAAAATTTAGGCTCCAGCTTTAGATTCTACAGGGAAGCAGTTGATGCGAAAAAGACTCTTAACAGTTTTTGTTAGTTGCCTTACAATTTCTAATTTTCTCTCGCAACTATAATTTTCTTCTTCTGTTGCTATCTCACTTTGCTATTATAATTTATTTTTTAATTTACTTTTTGTTATTAAATCAAATTTATTATTTAAATTTCTACTTTTAAAAACTGTGTATATTTATTTCTCTTTAGTTTGTATATATTTTATAAATGAACACTTATAGCTCTAATCCTATCCTCTAATTCATTTCCCTTCATTATTGAAAATTGTTTTATCATTAAAAAAAAAAAATTAACTTTTTGGGATTGAAGCCTTGAGGAGTATCTTATAAATTAGATCTAATTACCTTTTTTCTAACTGTATGTTTCATATTAGGGATGTTTTTTGGAAGTTCTAGTATAGCTAGACAAAGAGTATTCCGTCATACAGACCGCTTTTTATAAAATTATTAACATCTGTCTAAAACTTGGTCAATGCCTTCATCTTAACGTAACCTAAAAGTTTTTAATGTACTAAAAGTCACATAAATGGAGCGCTTCCAATCTGATGATCAGTAAAATCTGTCTATCGAATACTCTTGAGCACCCATTCTGCTTTCTACCTGAATAGTAAGATAACGTGATCAGGTGGGGGTGGCCTACAAAAATATTGGGCCGTTTGTCGTGGACCTCCACTCCTAACTCGTAAAAAAAATAACCTGGTTATATAGGCCAAAAGGCTCAATATTTTTGTAGGGCACTTTTTTCCCCCAGATTTTGTAATCAAATCAGCATTCGGTTCAAGAAGAAAGCAAATGGGTGTTTATGAATTTATGATACCTCATCAAATTTAATGAGAAAAAGCTCCATTTCCAAGAATTTTCATAAATGAAAAAGTTGCATATTACGATAATGAGCTTTTTTTCTTTTTTTTTTTTTTTGTAACCACTATCTATTTAGGTATCCTTCTAGTTTTGAAGTAATATATTTTCTACTTTTATCATTATACCCTACTTTATTTATTACTACTTATTATTGTATTATATTTTGCTTGTTGGTTGTTACTTTATTTTCAATTATTCTTAATTATTTTCATTTTTTTTTGTGTATACATATCTAGTTCTGCCATAAATACTGTTACAAAAGTTGAACTTTGTTTACATACTTGGGTAATATTTAGATAATCATTACCTCTATCAAGTTATTTTCTTTGCATGAAAGGATAATAATCCTAATTATTTTGTATTTTTCTTTCACTCAGTTAACATAGAGTGGGATGATAAAGTAAACCGGATAGCTGTGCCTGTAAATCGCCTTCCACAAAGTTGGAAAATGAAGGTCAGAGATTTTCAACACTTTGAAAACCTTAGATATCAGCCGTATCTTCGTATACCGTACTATAAATAGATATAATGAGAACCTATATGTGTGACAGACTTCGGAACCGTCCCCGCACAGTGACAACGGCAAATGCAGTGAGAGCAGTGGCTGCTCGAAAAAGAAGAACTCCCATTCGAAAACAACAAATCATGTCTCGAGAAATGGGAATCTCTGTCAGATCAATGTCTCGCATAGTAAAAAGTGACCTTAGGATGGGTGCATTTCGAAGAATGACAGGACAAAGGCTAACCACTTCCCTAAAAAAAATTAGAGTGGATAGATGCAAAGTGCTCCTTGGCCGTTACACCAATGGTCTTCATCGAAAGATTTTGTTTAGCGATGAGAAAATTTTTACAATTGAAGAAAAATTTAATCTCCAAAATGATCGTGTGTACGCACACAGCTCTAAAGAAGCCCAGGAAGTCATTGGAAGAGTGGAAAGAGGTCATCACCCTTCCTCAGTGATGGTTTGGTGGGGAGTTTGCTTTGATGGCACCACAAAGCTCCATTTTTGTGAAAAAGGAGTTAAAACAGCCGCTAAAAACTATCAGGACGATATTTTGGAACCTGTTGTCAAGCCTCTAAATGATACTCTGTTTGCTGGAAGTCATTGGGTTTTCCAGCAGGATTCCGCTCCAGCTCACAAGGCCAGGTCAACTCAGCAGTGGCTGCAAAAGAACATTCCAGAGTTCATCTCTGCCTCGGATTGGCCCTCAGGAAGCCCTGATCTCAACCCACTAGATTATCGGCTTTGGTCCGAACTGGAGAGGATGGCATGCCACAGAGCACACCCTAACTTGGAAAGCCTCAAACAATCTCTGGTCCGAGCAGTTGAGCGCTTTCCTCAAGAAGTGCTGCGTGCTGCTATTGATGACTGGCCACGGAGATTAAATGCCTGTGTCAAGGCAAAAGGGGACATTTTGAGTAATTTCTTTTTTGTTTTACTCTCTATAGATATACATTTTATTTTCTAATAAAGTTTTTGAAAAAAAATAATTTTTCTGTTGAAATCTGTATATATTTCCTTGTAACAATATTTATGACAGGACTAGGTATTGTAGGAATGGATACCATTAGATCTAATACTTTTTGTGTGGCAGATCGTGTTATTTTTCAATAAATTTAAAAAAAAGTTTCTAGTCGAACCAAACACTGTTTTAATGTTCAGGAAAAGAAAGAGAACGCTGTCTGTATCTCTAATAGCGAATTCGATAATGAGCAAAATGTTCATTGATAAAAAAGTGAACTGAGTACACTGTACACAGTTGCGTCATTAATGAAATGCATTATTCAGCCAGGCTTGGGTCAACTTCGTCCCATCCTAGTTCCAATCATAAAACAACCGATTGCAACAAACCTTCCATTCTAATCAAGCAACAATGCTTTCCAACGACTGGTAATTGGAAATACTTCGGTATTTCTGTCTGATGGAAACTACATGATAATAAGGGTATTCTATCCCGTATATTAAAAAAAAACTTTACTTTTTTTTTAAACACTTGAGCGCTGATCAAAACTCATCCTAACACTCTCATCACAATGTCATACCGATGAAACATGTGTCATATCAGTTAATAACGATCCATCGATTGCATCCCAAACTCTTCAATCACACATCACAAACCTTGAAGAATGGCGTCAAAACTGGAAGATTAAAATAAATTACAATAAATCCCATCAAATCACCTTTACTCCACTTATCCCTGTTGAACAAATCCGATACCTAGGATTCCATCTGGACAAACGTCACACTTTGAATTATTGTTGCCCAAAATCGGTCATGGTCTTGCACTATGCACGACCAAGAGCAATACCGGTAAAAAAAATCGAGTTTTCGAATAAAAATTAAGGCAAAATAGCTGGTATATTGGTATAACCAATATTACGATTTTTTCTCGATAATGTGATTAAATTATGTTATGAATTTAGCGGAAATCAAATACGTGCTTATGATTTTTTAGTACTTCGTTAAATAGATTAATTACCTCGTTAGCGATCTGCAGATTGAAAACCCCCATTTCCGAGAATTTTCCTAAATAAAAAAGTTCGAGGTAACGAAAAGATGAATACATTCACAAAGTTTTAGGCGGATGACAATAATTTGATGAAAATGGGTCTGACATGCAGTTCTCTATTTTTACGAGACGTTCTTGTCACATGACCACGTATATCACAAGTTGATGTATAAATATTTTAAGGAAGGAGATGGTCCGGGGTGGCGGTCATAAATAGGCTAAATAGGGACAACTTTTCGACCCGACTTTGCAGGTCTTCATCGTGGCTAGAACGGACAAGATACAAAAAGATATAGGGGATTGTGGAATTCACATAATATTTAGACAAAGAATTATAAACAATGTTAATGAACTTATTAAAATTATAAACAGTAAGTACATTAAAATACAAAATATATAAGATATATGTAGTATAATATATAATATAATATATTCAATTGTGAATATACTCCTACAGATATACGGGAGAGATTGGAAGAAAAGGAAAAAGGATATAATATGAAATAAAGGATATACAGTGATGTGGAAAAAGATAAGAGAAAAGAAAACAAAAAAATAAAAAATAATTCAATAAAATTAAAAGAATAAAAATAGAGACTTACATTTGTGTTCAGCAATTTTCAATCTTCTAATTTTATTTACTTATTTATTTATTTGGTTTCTTTTTTCTTTTCTTTCTCCACACCCCTTTATGCCCATTATTTCATGTTATATCCTTTTTCCTTTTCTTCCAATATCCCCTGTAGATCTGTAGGAGTATATTCACAATTGCATATATTATATTATATATTATACTAAAACAATTTTACCATCTATTTACTTCAGTTTAGGGTCTTGTTACTTAGCTGACTCTGTTTATAATTGTACTAGGTTTATTCATATTATTTATAATTCTTTGTCTAAATATTATATAACTTCCACAATTCTCTATATCTTTTTGTATCTTGACCGTTCTAGCCCTGAAGAAGACCTGCAAAGTAGGGTCGAAACGTTGGCTTTTAATAAAATAGTTTTGCCACTATTTAGTCTATCTATGACCGCCACCCCGGACCACATCCTTCCTTAATAATACAACGGTCAACTATTAAGTATTCAATAAATATTTTAAATCAAGAAACATATTTGGTGACCATTCTATCCACAAATAACCTCATAGTAAAACCAACAACTGGACCCTGTTAAATTATTTGATGTATGAAAATTGTTTAAAAAACTGTCAGATTTAAAAAATAGGAAAGAAGAAGGAGAGAATAAGTTCTGAAGAAAATAAGTTAATCCTTGAAACGTTATGATAAAAAGAGGAACCCTTAGTATTGCTAGCATACTTTTTATACAATTTATATTTTAAGAGTAAAAAATAAAGTCTAGGATAAAGATAAAGGGAAGCAACTATCTTCAAATTCGAAGAGATATAAGAAGAAAGTGGAAGACAAAGAAGTGTGAAAGAAAACACAGTAGCGAAAATATGAATAAATCACAACTTGTTGGTGCAGGATGTATCCCCTCCTTTGAAGTTAGGCATAATAAATTTATGGAGGACTTGTGAGGAGTTTTCCACACTCTCTAGCTTTATTTTCTTTTGAACATACTCTGGACCCTTTGTCATATCTTGGTACTATTACCATATTTTATTCACTTGGAAATCTATAAGGCTTTAAATCAACAGTATCTACGAGAAATCTGTTCACTCCCCTGTGTAGGGAAGGTGACCGATTGCTGAAAATGTTCGGTCCCAATTGACTCTTCTTTTTCTTTTTTTTTTTGTCTTAACTAGCAAAAAGATTGCAATTGTAGTTTTAAAAGTTTCATACAAGAAGCCTTAGGATAATTTGCAAGAATACTCATTACACATCGGAGGGTTCAATGTATTCAAGAACCCCAAGACACTCTTGGAATGCTGCTGATTCCGTACCATCAAGTGAAATACAAATAGATTCAAATTTCTAAATATTGCACTTCACTGTCATGTTTTGAAATGTAAATCAAATAAGTTTATTAGATCATGAAGGATCGAAACTTAGAGGAAGCATCATTCTGTTACAAACTTCAATTTAGTTATATCGAACTTACATTTTAAAGGTAAACGGGAAAGTTTTTGTAGAAGTGTGGATTAGTCCTATAGAATGCTGATTAAGATATATCGCGAATAATTTATGAAGTACAGACTTTAACGTAGATTAGCAGCTTAAAAGAACCATAAATATGTTATTTTTGGGGTGTTAAGTTTATTCATGATGCCACCGGATAATTATTGATGATAATTACCCAGAAATAAATAATAAAGATTAGTAAAAGAAATTTGGATCTATAATATATTTGGTCTAGGATTAATTAATTGAATTTCTTTTCTCTAAGGTTGGTTTGTGTTTATCATGTTTTCTAATTACCAACATTACCTGTGATCATGATATAAATATTTGGCAGAATTAAAATAACTTTTACTAAAAAACTTAATTTATTTCTATTTTTAATAAAGAATACTATACAAATAACTTAGAAATCTTAATGTGCAAACACTATATACAATGAACTAAATATATGATCCTAAGAATTTAATAACTAACTTTGAAGGTATGATTTCAGATAGACTGTTTTGAGAGTTGTATTGCCATGAAATATTCTAATATTGGCAAATTTATTATTGGGAATAAAAGTTAGCTATTATATATGAAATGGTGTAGTTAGTAGGTTTCATAGCTGCATCTGCTGATCATCTCGTAATGCCCAGGTCCAAACTCTACCATCAGTACATCTCCGTGTTCGGTCGCTCAAGATCATCTTCAGTCCTCAAGGCCGGAAAAAGACATAAGAGCCCTTATCTTACTTCTTGGGAGATTTTATACGAATATTCAGGGTGGGGCAAGGATGTTTTTCATTAGTTCTTAGCTTCACCCTATAACAGGTAACACCCTAAAAGGAAACAGTTACTTAACCCGTTACTAGCCACCAGTTACCCTAAGTACACAGGCCTTCTCTAGGGTCCAGGTACAGGTCGGTCCTTGCAGGTTCCAGGGAGGTACCTGATGTGTTTGGTATCAGTGTATTCCAACTTTTGTTTTCGACACCTCATAACAATTTCAAAAGCTTATTTGCCATGTTCAATACATAGCAATGTATATTTAGTTACTATCGTAGAAGTTTTTCAAGGGCACTTATTTTACTTACAAATATTGTTTCCTAGGATATAGATAAGCCCTCATCCATAAATATGATTAAAATTAGATAAATTCTGTTTAAAGTTGGAGAAAATGTTGTCTAGTTTATGATACTGCAATTACCTAAATCGTATATTTGTTTTAGTTATTTCATACTAAAAAAAAAAAAAAAGAACTGTATCACTATAACCCATGAAGTGTTTAGGTTCAGTACTTTGTTTAAATGTACTGTTTCAAGGCCAACGGTTGTGCAGCGAGGTGATCTAGCAGAGATCAGTTGGCGTGCCCCAGGAGGGTTTGCCAATCCCAGGGTAAATTTACAGCTGATGAAATATTAGATAGATAGATAGAAAATAAATTTTATTCTGGGACGAGGTTCCTTATGAATAACATTAGAGAACAAAATGAGTATATAAAGTATCTTGAGTAAAAGTATATTAAAACAAATAAAAATAGCACCATTTTGAAAAAAAAAAACAAACATCATTTAAATGAAAAAAAACAACAGAAATCAGGTAAAAAATAAATAACAAAATAATACAAGCATTGGTTGATTTTTTTAAATTCAAATTTAAACAATTTTAACAACCATTCACCTCAGTCAAAATCTGTTTCACAATATTTATTTTATTATACAACGTAATTTTGGGATGTGAGAAGGAATTGGTAGAGATGATATTTAAATGAGGACAAGGAAGAGGCATGGCGGAATTCAGATGGCAAGGAATTCCAGAAGGCAGTGGATCAGGCAATAAAGGAATATTCAAATGTCTTAGTTCTATGGGAAGGGATATAAAGGTCGGAAACACGGGATCTTGTTTTCTGGGAGTGGACCACGGGTTTGAACTGTAGGTAGATGTAGGAAGGATGTCAGATGTTAATCGTTTGGAATAGGAAAGATCCAAGGAAATATTGTCTGCGGAAAGAAGGGAAGAGCCACTTTAACTAATCGTAAAGGTGAGACTTGGTATTACTTGATATCAGCCGGATTCGAACCCGAAACCTCGATCTTAGAAGACTTATCTAGAGCTTAGAATTATCTCTTACCCTTCCAGGTCGGGGCGGTGCCATTCTAACGCCGCAAGATACAAGTCTTCTCCTCAAAAAAGAAATAACTCATAGCCGGCAATCTATGTGGAACGAGAGTCCACCAAGCAAATTAAAAGATATTGAAAAAAACAAAACATTAAAGCCATTGTCAACATCAAATCGTTATATCCGCAGAGAGGAGCTTGTCTTGGCCAGGATGAGAATATGCCACACCAATCTCACCCATTCACATCTCATTAACAAAGAGCCACCTCCACAACGCCAACACTGCAATAATACACTTACAGTCAGCCACATTTTACAGGAGTGTCCTTTTTACGTATCGAGTGTGAATAGTTCAGGACTTACACCGACAACAGCAAACATTTTGAGGGATAACGAAGACACAATTAAGTTAGTGACAGGTTATTTGAAATCAAACGATTTGTTTTAAAAAAAGAATTAAATCTTTAAAAATGTATTGCAGATTTAACAAAATCAGGTGTAGATGACCTGGATGTTTTACGCCTTAAAACGCCAACAAACAAACAAATTATTATTTTTTTTATTTCTTAAAGATATTTACAACTGTATTAAATAAATACATCTAGTAAATTTGAACATAATGTATATAATGACATGAAAACACTTGCTGAGTAACTACCCAATGGTAGCACTCTAATGATATATTTACATTAGGAGATCACGGGGCCATCTTCTTTTCAGACGCCTTGGAAGGTTATCAGGAATTGAAGAGGAAGCAAGGTTAGAAACGAGAGGGTTGGGATGATTCTGAAGTTTATTATAGAAGGATAGGTATCTGGATTGGGCCAGATCTGAAACAAAAGAAACATTAATGTCATTATGGATGGTTTTATTTGTAACAAAGTAGGTAGCATTGATGATTTTACGAGGGATTTTGGATTGTAAGGATTGGATACGAGAGGAATTCGATGGTTTAGTGGAGACCCATAGCTCAACTCCGTAAGTCCAAATAGGCCTTATTATAGTAATATATATGAGTCTTTTGTAAATAGTTGGCAGTTTAGAGCGTTTGTCTAGTATGTGCTGGAGTAGTCGGAAACGTCGGGCGGTTTCTAGTCGTTTAAGTCTGGTATGGGGGTTCGAAGTGAGTCGTTTGTCAAGGTCCTAGGTATCGGATTCGTTCAACAGGGATAAGTGGGGTATTGTTAAAGGATACTGTAAGACAGGAAGTCATAGGTTTACGACGAAGAGTAAATGTAATTTGATGGGATTTATTTTAATCCTCCAGTTTTGACATCATTTTTCAAGACTTGTTAAAACCAACTAATTTAAAATTGATATTTATGGATGTTGGAAATGCATCTTGAAAAAGAAAAAAGAATGGAAAATTTGATATTCAATAACATAAGAATCTGGTTATGAAAATAACTTAAATTTCAAGGTAGAATATTTAAGACAGAGTAAGTTCTTTTTCTAAAATTAGGAGCAGAGTGGGGAGGATGGGGGGGGGAGGAGGGTGCCTGGACATGACAATGAGTGATGTGGCCGGTTGGCGTGCCAAGCTCCTTTAATCTCTTCTTGTTGGTACTCACTATCACTTTTTGAAGGATTCTTACCCACTTTTATTGAGTACATCGCCCCTGGCCCCCGCATTATTTTTATCTCTTTTTAATACTTTTGTTAGGATATCGATTCTCCCAGGGAACCACCTGCCGCAGGAGCTGACAATCATTAATCGTAACCATAATGGCTTAGATGATTAATTTTTTTTTTTTTTTTGTTATCAAAGGCACTCCCTTGTAATAGATTGTACCTCGAGAAAAACTCTTTAAAAAGGGGGGTTTATTTAATGCAAAATAATTTATAGATGGGAATATTTTTAACAATACAATATTATTTATATGAATTATTTTCTATGCATAGTGTATTTAAGAGAGTCGTTTCTTTTCCAACTCAACCCTAATTCTCACATCCATATATTAGAGCTGGCTTTATCATAGCATTGTACTCCCTTAATCTGATATTTCATCATATTTTTCAATAACTTTGAAAGAGAGAAGAAAGCTCTGTTTGAACTAGTTTTCGCTGGTCTATTTCTGTCCGTTGGTCATTCATTGAGGTTATTGTGGAGCCGAGGTATTTGGATTTTTCTAATCTGTGGAATGATAATCCTTCTACGCAAATCCTGTCATTGGGATGACATTTTCGGCTTATTATCATGTATTTTATTTGGTCTTAATTTACTTGTAGGCCGATCTGCTCTGCCTCTCTTATCAGATTCGTAGCGAGTTTCTCAATGCCCTCTTGATTACTTTCAAGGACAGCTATAACATCTGCCTATCCAAGGATTTTATGACTCAATAAGACGTTAAATTAATCTATTTTCCTGTGATGTTCTTATTACCTTCTCCAGGGCTAAGCTGTCCTAGTGACGCGGCTGAGAGAGAAGTGCCGGTATCTCTTGGAGTCTTGCCTTAGTTGGAGTCTCTTTGGGGGAAAGGGCACGACCAGGAGCTCCCTCTGATGACTGTAAACATTGAAAAATAAGTATGAATGTGTTTTTAATTTGTTTTATTTAATGTTGTCTCATGTTTGATTTATTCTGTTATTCCAAGTTTTATTTTATTATAACCTTGTTTTTCTTTTATTTTATATATGACATGATTATGTTTCATGCATCCAAAATACTTAATGCTATTAATTGAGGCCAAATGTATTTTTTTCTCAATAAAAAATATTAAAAAAAGTGCTAAGTTGAACAACATCGGTGATAGTCCATTTCTCTGCAGTAAGCCCGGTCGAACTTTAAAGGCTTTAGATACTTCTCCTTATATTAGGACTCTACATTTGGGGTCATTTATACACGCCTATGTCAATCTCACCAACTTACCGGGAACTTCTAGTTCAATCATGATTTTCAGACATTAAGGCAGCTCCTGTCCAGAATCATATGCTGCTTCGAAATAGGGCGTGGACGTCCAGATCTACCTCCCATCGCTTTTCGAGTACTGGTTTTAGAATGAAGACGTGTTCCTCCCTTTTCTGAATCCAGCTTGGTGGTCGCCTATAATATTCTCGCAGTACGGATATATCCGGTTTTGTTGGATATTGGTCATCATCTTGTAGGCAACCGGAAGGAGTGCTATGCGTCTAACCCTAATTATCATTGAATACTTTTTAGAAAACGCGAACAAATATATATTTTCTATCACAAATTTAATATCGAAACCAAAACAAAAAAAATTGAGAGATTCTTTATTTATAGCAAATATTTTCGGAAATCACTGATTATACTAAATCCTTTAATTTTTAGATTATATTTCAATTCGATATGAACATAGTAATAGCACTAAAATGTATATATTTTAATCATTGTAACAGTATTTCATTAAAAATCTTGGGAACAAAATACAAATATTTATTTTAGTATTTTGAAGGAAATACAGTTACGAACCATGTATTTTATTTTGTATTTTAATATAAATATTTTTTCAAGTTTGCATTTTAAGAACTAACATTTAAAATTGATTGTTTATAACTGTATTTTATTTTTAAAATACAAATTACATAAAAGTATTTATATTTCATTTCCAAGACACTAAATTTTAAAAACACCAAGCAAGATAGTTTCCCTGTGTCTGAGCAGTATTTTAAATAAAATACATTTTTTCTATTTTGCATTTTAAGAAGTAAAATATATAATAGATCGCTTGTAATTGTAATATGCAAAAATGTATTTTTTATACACAAAATAAATTAAACACTTTTCAGGAAACAGAAAAGACTATATTTTCTACGCCAAAATAAATATCGAAACCAAAAATATTGGAGATTCTTTATTTATACCACATTCATAAGGTTTTTAGAGGTTAGTTTTGTGGAGAAAAAAGTTTCAAAATTGTATTCTACAAGATTTAGTTTTGTTTACAAAAAAATTGTTTTATTTTTAATTTTCATCCTAATAAAACGGTTAAAAAATCTTTTAATTAGTTATTTTTTAAAGAATACTTAGGAAATATAATTTTCATATATTTCTTGGAGAAAAGGCTGATTGCGGAAGTAAACTTATTTTCACACCATTTTTTTTTATAATTAGGTTCGTAATTATAAACCGCTGGATTCATTGGTTTTTTTTTTCATGGAAATCGATAAGAATATCGATTTTCTTTAAGAAAAATTGAATATGGTTCACTTTGGAAATAAACGGCTCATATCGTTCATCTTTTATATCATTCCTTGATTGTACATGGCAAGTTTCTAAATTCAGGGCTGGGCTCATCGATGTATTCGAAAATTCTTTAAATACTTCCTGTTGATGGAAAATCAGTACGTTCGTTTCCTCAACGATTGAATCACCGGTTCCATCGCCTTGGTCTATTGATCCGCTGTGTGTAATCTCGTAATAACTGATTTGTTATTATTTCTCAATTTACTTTACATATTTACTTGTAAATACAGTTTACATTATGCCAATATTTATTTATGTTTTGAAATTAAACAGTTGATTATATTTATATATTTTTTGTCTGTTTTAGGTGAGTTTTTCGTTAGAGAATTAGCATTACCAACGTTTATTGAATGCCGAGGTAAGATTATATATTTTTAAAATAAGATCATATTTAATATGGCGTGAAAATTAAAATGCTTCAATTTCTGTTCAGATATATTGTTATTCTAATGACATATTCAATTTTGATTTTATATATTTAAATCAAATGCAATCTTAAGAAATAAATATAAAAAAAAATCAAAAAATAAAAAAACAACTCTACCACTACAGGGGTCTTGGGTTCTGTAATTCAGGGTCAACGGTTGTACAGGGAGGTGATCGAACCAGGATCATGCTCAACCGCCAGATTTCCCCCCTTAATTAATTATTTAACTAAAATTAACAACTTTATAGAGACCAGGTGTACCCCTGGAGGTTCTCCC